GTTAGTTACACGAATTCAGATATAGGATGAAATCGGATAGGGATGAAATTGTTTAGGGATGAATTAGTTTAAGAGTTTTTAAGAGTTTTAAAAGTTTTTAAGAGTTTTAGCCAAATACTTTATAAGATAGTATGAATTAATAACAAGGGCCATGGGACCAAATCGACATAGAGAAGAAGTATCCAATAGTAATTGGACATGGACTTGTCCGATTCATGGGCTGGTAGTAGTTAACTTAACTGGGCTTTTTAGGCCCAATTAGTGTTCAGAGGCCTAACACAAGAGCCCAAGATAATTCATCTTCGTATTTTAACGTATTTCTTCGTATGCAATGAGGATGTAGATATTGTTCATTTTCATTCCATACGAATTGAAAAATTATTTTCCATTATGTATTTGATTATTAATCTATACTACCAATGCCACAACCCCCAAAACTGCCATCACACCATCATCACCTCGTCGTAGTTACTGCCATTGTAGCAACAACACACACACAATTTGCCACCACTACCATCACACCGTCATCATCTTCACTACCGCCACAACCATCACTTTTGTTGCGACACTATAATCACTAACACCCCCACTGAAATAACCACCACCACACCGTAGATGACACCCCCAATACTACCGATTAATATTACTATTAACATGATCATTAAATAGTATGTGTAATTTAATTAATAAAGTATGAAGATGCTATAAAAGAGGGGTTTTGATCATTTATCATTATTTCAATAGAATTTCGAAATTATATTCTGTGAACCAAACATACATATTCCAATTCTTTCGACAGATTCCGTTCCAATCCGTGGCAACTAAAACACATGATCAAACCTAATAAAAATTCTATTCCATCTCATTTAGATTCCAATTAATTTGACAAATCCTAATATATTTTTCGCTCTTGGAATCAAACACCACTGCACCTTATTGTTTTATAAAAGTTTAACATGTCGAAAGTTTTTACAAAAACAACTACTCTACTTTTTAAGATAGAGGAATGACCTACATATATCTTATGAATTGAAATGATTTTTTTTAGTCATATTTGTGATTTTGTTTAATTATTTTTGTTCTAAAAAATGAAAGATTGAATAATGTGAAAGAGGACAATGGTTTGGTGATTTTGTTGACATAAAAGATTCTATTTATCATTATTTTTAAATTTTGTAGGTGTTTTTATTTTAAAACTCGTTGAATTTTGAATTCTTATTTCACTTTTAATTGATAAAAGTGAGGTGAAGACCCATTCCCAGGTGTTCAAAATTTTTCCAAGCTTTGGATGGGGAACATGAATTATAAGTTCTATCTTAATTGGGATAGTTGGTCTTCTTCTCCTTACCTTGTTTAGTCTACTTGCTTGTCTCAGACTTGGGTTTTGCTTTGGCTTTAGTTTGGGGATGTCTCTTTTTGCTTCTTTTTGTTTTCG